CCCCAAAACCCCAAAACCCCAAAACCCCAAAACCCCTTTTAAAGAAAGTTTAGCTGAAAATAATATTAATTTTAGTAATTAATGGGTAAGCAAATGGAAAGATATTTCAAAGGCTACTCTTCTTCCCATAATAATTGAGCCAGAGAGTCAGTTCTATAGGAAATTTAGTAGCCATAAAGAATTAAATAAAGGATTCTTGAATTGATTTTCTTTATTACTAAGTAAAATTTATGAAAATGTACATAAGAATTAAGATTTGGGAAATGTTATTCATAATTTATTTCCTCAATAGAACTTAAATATTTCTTAAAGATCAAATGAACAATTTACCTTGATTTGAAAGTAACTAAAAAGCTAAATGACAACGATTTCTCCACTCTCCTCATAACTTGTTCCTTGTATGAATTTCTATCTCTGATTAAATTTCTATCCCTTTATTTTTGTTACTCTAGTTGGTCTGGCCTGCTGTTTTACTCACTCAATTGCTCTACCACCACCACCAAAAAACTGTTCTCGAGCATCCATGTATTTTCAAATATCATTTGTGTTTTGTTGTGAGAAAACCAATATCCTTTAAAAAGGGGATTTAAGATTTTCATTAAGAACCCTCCTTAGCCCAGGTTTACAATAGTGAAGGCAAGACAGGCAATACTCATGAGAGCTTTAGGTTACTTGTTATGCCATGTAGTTAGAACTTTAAAGGCTCAAGATAGCAGGGCTTGTACAGATTTATTTGGATTCGTTCAAGTTTAGCTGAGTGTTATCGGCAATGTTTGATGTGTAAATAGATATGACAGACAACTTGATAAATGGTCCAGAAGAAGAGATTGAGTATTTCAATCTCGGTAAAAAGTATAAGCAATTTACACAGAAAGGAGGAGTAGAGTTTCTACAAAGATTTTTGACCTCTATTTCAAAACAGTGTATCTTGAACAAAAATTTTCTTAAGAATTTATGAGAAGAAAATAAATCTTCAATAAAAGAGTAATTAATTAAATAATCTCTGTAGTCATGGAACAGATCCTGACAAAGTACTGAAAAGAATAACTTCGATCAAAATAAAGAGGAAAGGACTCGCCAAAAGAGATATATCGATGCCTAAAGAGCTAGAGTAAGTCTTCTACTCCTTATTATTGAGATTTAATGAACTTTAGTCTATTTAACTTTCTTTTTAATGGATTTCCTTCACCCATTTTAGCTACTCTAAATTATTCTTTATCATAATCATGTATTTACATCTACACTATCTTATGTAGTGTCTTTAGTTTGAACATCTTTCACAACTGAAGAGCTTATTTCTTGGCATCTCGGAAAATATCCATTACAAATGTGGCCTTTACTTCAATTTAGAAGACTTTGAAGTTAAATCTCTTCTCTTTACACAAAGCCTTAAGCCCAGGTCTTAGTTTAACGAATAAATGCTTATATTTACCTGTGGTTAACGCAATAGTTGTAAAAATTGTCATATGGTAATGCAATATTGATTTATCGTTGCTTTGTCCTTACTTCTTCTACCCTCAATGTTTCCGAATATTTGTTCTCTTTGAATTCAAATGCTCGGCTCATCTGTATAAATTTGAATAAGTGAGCAACCTTTATTTCTATATCAGAGCTATGAGCATTTAAGAAACAACTGAGAGGGATCAGCATTCTCTTAATTATTAATAAATAGATTTGGTAAAAGTTTTCTATTAGCCAAAAGTGATCTCATCAAGAATTAATTAAGCATAAGCTATATTTAAAACTAGACTTGTTTTAATGAGTATACTCTTTAGCAAAATCAGATTTAATTAGAGTCTTACTTCGGCTGCTCATCTTACACAAGCAATATTGAAATTGTTTGGTCTTGGGACCATAATATGTTTATTACCTTATTTGCTTCCTATATTTTGTAGTCATTTTAAAATGATACTTAACAATAAAGTATAAAAAAATATCTAAATATGCAAGTTGAATTTAATAGCTTAGCTAGCTAATCACCTCGAAAGATTTATTTATTACTAACCCAAAGTTGGCTTTTCCAGTGCTATTTATTCTTGTGGTAATCATTGCTTAGTTTCATTAAACATCTAGTAAAAATAACTCTAAAAATTAGCTAAAATTACTTATCTCATAGTTACTTTCTTTGGGAAAAGCTGATCTAGAGAATCAACGTTCAAATTTGGCAAAATAACATCTTCATAATGATCTTGCTGTAGAAGATAGAAATCTGGATAACTTAATAAGTTAGGAAAATTAGTTTTAGAAATTCATAAATCAGAACCTAACATGAGTCGAAAGTTTAAACTAGGTTTTATAAACTCATGTAAAACTTAAAGAGATAAGCTCATTCGTGATATTTTATAACTTTGCATTTGCTTTCCAAAAACAAGAGATTAAGGTTGAGTCTGATCCCTAAAGTATTTGCAATAAAAGTTAAGTTGACAATTCGGAACAAAAATTGTTAGAATTCACTACTTTAATGGTTTGGCAAAGTACAAAACCCTAATATTATTGATTAACAGTTACCATGTTTTGGTTAGAAATATTAGAGACTCAATACCCCTCATGCATAAAACCCACGCTTAAGACTCTGATTTAGATTAAGTATATTAAGCTGTAGTAGTTGAGGAAATGATTAGTTTTATCAAAATTACTAGGTTGCATTGGCTTATCCTGTAGTTTCAAATGGCTTAAGATTTGAGCACTGAAGTATACTCACAAATTAAGTCCTATATTTTCAAAGTCATCAATATCCATTCTTTCCATGTGCTCTTGATAGAAAGGAATAGTAACAACATTGGGTTAAATGCAAGCTCTCTGCTATTGTTTTGCAGTAGAAATTATTTAAGTATTTTTATCTTTCTTTCTGGAAGTTTTGGAATTATAGTGAAGAATGAGAGAAGTATCTAGCTTAAAATAGTTGGAATGCTCCGAAGTTTTGTAGCTATAATAAACACGCTTGTATATCAAAATTACTATAAAGTCTATGCTAATTCTTTGATAGAACTATATAATATCTTTGAAGAATTCTTTTTTGAGTACAATGAAACTAAAGGAAGATCCATTAAAGACACTTCTTCCAATATCCTATAAATGCTGAATAATTTAAGCCTTTAAGATACAGGTTAACCAAGCATTCGAGGACAATTTGGATATAAACCTATTGACATTACCTGCATGCTAATCCAACTTTATAGGTTCTTGCTGAAAATGATTAAAAAGGGAAGGATAGAATTTCAAGGTAAAGACACGTTTGCACTCTTACAACTGTGCAAAGTTTTTGTATTTTTAAATCGCTATTTGCAGAGATCATATGTGAAGTAAACAGAAATTCATGTTTGCCAATTTTATGGAACTAAATTTACATTTTGCAAGTTTGAAAGTAACTCCGCATGTTTCTACCCAGTAGAATCACAAGAATAGATCATTATTTTGGTTCCAGTCTCCCATTTCTCTTTTTTAGAAACATACAATTTTAGTTTAAGATTAAAGGCTGAAAAGTTTTATTGTGAAAAGAGTATTACTCCAACCGTTTTTTATGCATATCTCTAATTCTGAATCAATCTGAGCAAAGATAGCTGTTTGAAGTAAAAAGACCAAAATTATATTAATTCAAAGTCTTGAGTGTGAGTCTAATTGCTACTATGCAGGAATTTTTATTATCTCTACAAGCACAACACTTGAATTTAGTTGCTTTTTTTTAGCTTTCAATGGAATTTTATTTTAAACAGTTCCACACACCGAATATCTGGGTTAGACCATTCTCTCTCATAACCCATAAGTATTAATATTCAGTTCATTTTAAGTACGCTTATTTCCAGCATCGAATAATCTTTCCGATCAAAACTCTCAGTTATTTGAGGAAACTTTCTGTCGAGAAACAAGCTTCAGGGCTGACAAAGAAACATGTTCTTTTTTATCAGTTCAAATTACATTTGAGTAAATTCCAATTACATAATGATAAGTTTTACAGAATTATAAGCATGTTTAAGCTTCTTTAAAGGCCTACACATTTATGCGCTTTAATTCTTAATTTTAGTATGATTGTTCCTGACATTAAATATTAGAACTTGTGTTTTAACATATTTGATACTTATTTGATACTTATTTAGATAATTTAATAACTTCTTAAATTTTTGTACAATTTTAGCTAATTCACTTAATTCCTTGCAAATAGATCGTCTAACCTCTCCTTTAGACCCTAACTTTGAGTCAAATATGGTAAATGGATGTTGTTTCAGGTTTAATGCTGATTTAGAATCCCCTAAAAAATTTCAGTAATGAACAAGGTAAGACCCAACATTACTTAGATTTATCTAAAATAGGAGGAAATATTTTCCAAGGAATTTGAGATGTCCATCTCGAATACGATGAATCTGATGTGATAGTTTATTATTATAAAAATGAAGATTTTCTGAGAGTTAAATCAATTTTATCTTCCTTCGACCCTCGAAAGGCAGAGTAAGCACAAATTTATATTTCTGTAGGAGAACTATTATTATGGATGGGGAAGACCATGTCTTGCTATGAAACCAGATCAGACTCTTTACAAAATACACTTTGCATAATTTAGATAGAGATGCTTATCCAGAATTTGGTGGAAAATTTGTAAACTACTGCAAAGGCTTCATTGCCAAAAGCAAAGGTAGTTTGTGCATTTATGATCTATATAGGCTGGGATCTAAATCAGAATGATGAATCCGAAGTAAAATTAAGCAATAATGTTTAGTGAACTGAAGGGAAATGCTCTTCGTTTGACTTTTTGTTCAAAATTCTTACAGGTAAATCTCTAAACATCTTAAAAATATTACAAAGATAAATTTTAGGCATAATTTTTAATCATCACTAATTGCTAAATTTCTCAAATTTTAAACTCCTTAATTTCTCTCTCAAAATTCATATTGTAAAATAATCCCATGGTCAATTTTTTGAAGAGAACATGCATCTCTATATCCATCCTAAACCTAAAATCTTCATCCAAAGTTAGACAGTCATTTTCTCATCTAACATTAAAAGTTCTTTCTATTTGAAGTTCAAAGGAGGTTCATTAGCTCTACTCACAAAGCTGTTTCAGACAATGTATAAACATATTCCTGGCAACTCTTCGCAAGGACTTAAAATTGAGAACTCACAGGATAGTAGATTCATTCACTAGCTGTTGATATCATCCTAACTGAACATTTAGAAGAAGATGATGGAGATACAAAGGACATCAAGAAACTAAGAGAAAAGCTCATTGACTTTCTTATTACTGGAACTTACCAACAGGAATATTGCAATAGTAATAGTAGTTTTAAAATGTACAGAAAACATCATGGAAGGTGGCCACGGATTTGGCTATGCTAGTAAGATATTTTAATCTTTAATTGTTGAGTTCTGCATCTTTCTGTTATTCAATTTTATCTGAATATTCGGCCCGTCCTGGTTAAATTCTTTGGATGTTTTGAAAATTTCAGAATATTTAGGGGATTACCGTATATGAGTTTACCCAAACACAGCATCATATCATCTCTTGTTTTAAAATCTTAGATTTGAGACGATGTCAGATTTATAAATATTTTGAATAAAAGCCAGTTTCAGCAATTCTTGATTCTTGTAATAAATAAAGTGGACACCAAAAGAATTGAGATACTAATTCTTGGATTTAGGGTGCAGCTTCAATCAAAAAGAAAAATTCAAATACAAAGTACAACTGAAGCCTTCAGAGTTTCTCTCATTTAAAAATACTGCAGCCAAGTTCAAATCTCTTGTGAAGACAGGTACCATCAGATTAATCTTTAGAGGAATTATGAATGGTTTCATTCCCCACGCTCTTCCATTTCTTTGTAGACTTCTGGAATAAAGATGAACAATGGATTAAAAATATAATCGAAGCAGGAAGTGAGATGCTTAAATCAGAGCTAAAGAATAAATCAGCACAATTTATCGAGGAGGCTAAAAGAAATAATGAAGATCCTACAGAAAAGTAACACATTTATCTGACTTCTACCGATTCTAAAAAGAACATGAACAGGGGAAACAATCTCCAGGCTTTTATGAGAAATTTATCCTTCTTCTTTTGAGAGTTAAAAATTTTGTTCAGATTCTAAATACTAACAAATCTTGACATTTACATAGATTCATTAAAAAGTTGATGCCAAACTGAATATTTTACTCAACATCAAGAACTATAATACTAAGAGGACTCGAAGAGAACTTTAGAAACTTTAATCTCTTCTTGTAAGAGTTATTTCTTATTTTATAGAGTTGAATGAGTAAGCTGCTTAAAGGTAAGGCTTTCAATGAAAAAATATTCATGGCTTGGAGTCTGATTGCGCTTTAAGTTAACCAGCTATTATTAATCTTGATAATCATTATTATTTCAAATCATTTATTAGTGTGAGATTAGCCTGTAAACTTCTCAAGAATTATTTATTCACTTAATTTTCTCTCATTGTATTTCAAATTTTATTAAATCAAAATTTTGATCCAAGACATTGCCTGAAGATATATAAAAATTTAACTTCTACTAGTTGACTAAAAGGATGAAGCTTCCTTCTCCTTTAAAGAATGCTGCATGAGCAGTTTGCAAAAGTGCAAAGTCTACAAAATATGATCAAAGAAATTACAAAAAGATGGAAAAGAGAATTATCAATTGAGATGAAGATAACTGGAGTAAACTCGTTTTAATCTTCTAGGATATGAGAAAAGTATGGAATCATGATATTTTACTTCATAAAAACATTTTATAAACAATTTGCTTAGGAGATTGTAAATTCCAAATGATGAGAGAAGCAATTCAAGAAGTATGCGCAGGGCCTCATCTATAGGAATTTAATTCCAAAGTTGATATCTGATATGATGCCAGAGGGTAAATAGATTTTTAATATTATATTTCCTTCCAGAATTCAACTTTGCTAACACATTGTTATCATTAGCTTAAATAAGAGAATCGCAAATGAAATTTTGTAGTTTATTGCATCATTATTATAATTATTAAAAACAGAGTATATATCCAATAAAACTCGTCATAAGTTGTATTTAATCATTAGCTTAATTATTAACTAATATAGAGTGAGAAATCATGCAATAATGATTGGTTTTGAGCCAGGAGTGAACCATTTTAGAAATACAAAAATTGATAGAGCAACAGTCTTTCTTAATAAGTAAGTTCCGCATTCAAATATTAGATTAATTAAACATTTCCATGAACCAGAGGAAGGAGACGAATTTATATTTGATAAATTCTTTGCGGAAGATGGTAATTAGATTCTATAACAGATTAGATCCTATGATGAGAATGATAAAAGTGATAGCAGTTGAAGAGAGAAAGAGGAAAATTCAGATTGAAGTTGAACTGAGATATGGAGTTAAAATCAAAAACATTTCATTCAAGTATGAATTCCTCTTATTAAGCTAGAGTTACTTTTACAAAAGCATTATTTGCTTCTGTGGAGTTTTACAATCTCCGAAACATCTAGCCTTCCTATCTTCTTGTATCCTTGAAATATGATAGTTTTGTACCTCATGTTACTTCCTGTTCAGATAAAGGCTTTACTTTGAATTGTCAAAACACTTAACTCGAATTTCTATAATTTCCTTAAGCTTAGAAGTAAGGTTTTTTCTCAAGTGTTAAACTCACATCTTTAGAGAAATAAGCTGTATTTATTATTAAAATCTTAGCTTATGAAGAGTAGATTTGTTATGAGCTTTATTTCATCCCAAATATAAGTTATTAAATCCCCTAAAGTTGTGCTATGTGCTTTGAATATGAAATATTAAAACTAAAATCTTTAAAATCTCTACTCCGTATCGACAATTTTATGTGAAACTTAGATAATTAAGAATGAGTCACTGTTTATTTTAACGCACAATAGTAATCTATTTCACTTGTGAGAAGCTTTATAATATGTATGGGAGAACTCTCATAAAAGAACTCACTTTCAGAATAATTTAATCTAAAGGGATAGGTTTTTAAAATACAAATGAGGACTATATGGGGTTGTATATTGGTGATCTATCCTCAAATGCTAAAGTGTTTTCATTAAGATTCTTAGACTCTAAATTATTAATTTCACAAAGAATTAAATTATGATGTCTACATCTGTTGGCAGTTGTTTGGCACATCTGAAATGACCTTATATTTTAGCGATTGAAACTTTATATGCAGAATATATGGAATGAATGAAAATATACAGGAAGCAAAGAAAGGTTTAGAAGATTTGCTCAAGGTAAGGCAAAACTGTATTTTGTTTTTTAATTACTACTTATTTTGCAACCTCTCAAGAATATTTATAAAAGAGAAATACCAAAAGTGTAGCATATTTCTAAGTTATGTTCAAAGATAATGTTAGAACTTAGACAAAAATACTATTCTAAAATAATTGAAATGCTTATTTTTGGTAAATGAAAATGATGTCATTGTCAGGTTCAGACTGGCAGATCATTAAACTTTCAGATACATCTCCTAAACTATAATCTAAAAGTGCAGATTGTTGATCATAAAAAAGGATAATCTATATCTACCTCTCTACTATTTAATTTCTTTTATTTACTAAAGTAGCTAAAGTGGCATCAATAAGAATGAAAAGTAAAACCTAGCTTTAGGACTAACTTCCATCATGTCTAAAATCTAATTGATGCCTACACTCAGGATGTAGCATAACCTTTATTTTCCTTTTAACGTGGGACTGCTACATTGTGGCAACTTCCAGGCATAATATGTTTCTTCTGACATCTATACTCTAAGACTTATGATTTTGTTGAAATTTCATCCCTTATAATGTCATAAATAGAAAACCAAAAATAAGCTGAAATACCAATACATCCCCTTGGAACTTTTCAAATACTGAATGGAGATGAGCTATTTTGATGATGACCAGAAGTGGAGAGAGAACAATACCTGCATCAAAAGATGAGAAGAAATTATGGAAGATGATTCTTTGAGTAAATTCCCAAGAGCAAAGCTTAATAAAAGAGAGATCTGTGGTTCAGGAATATCAGTGAATAAAATGTATAATCAACTCGAGAATGAAAGACAAAGTAAAAATTGGAATAAGCAGAGTAAGCATAGCCATGATTAAAGTCTTCTCTCAATTTAAATCAGAATTAACATTGTTATATTAGAGATATATTTTTAGTTTTTCGAAAGGTACACTTAAGTAATCGATTTACATAGAATTCGAAGATGATCTCAGTTTTATCTCTGACAGAATTGTGTTCCCAAACTACTACAAAAACTCAATGATCCAAGCGAGTCCTGATTTCTGTAAAATCAATATTAAACAGTTTATAGCACAAGAAAAAAATATATATGACTTGAAAGTTCCAGAGAGCGCTTCCATCACTGAATTCTTCAATATAATGAAGGATATTGAGGATAAAGTGTTCCCTTGGCTTGAGATTAGATTCCCAGACACCTGGCATAAGTATTCTGATCATAGAAAAGCACTAAAAGAAAGAATTACTACATTAGAGGATAATCCAATTTTGGCTGACATTAAAGATCTTAAAAGCTTTAAAGTAAGTTTCAGATTTTTCTTATTTTGATCAAACCAACAATTAATATTTAGGACATTAAAAAGAAAATAAATAACGAATTTAAAAATGATAGGATGAGCTTAACCAATATTACTAGCATTCATCATGTGAGAAACAAATATCTTTTTGCCGTATATCAATGTTGTACAGAAGAAAAATCAAAGACCTTATGTAAGTAATTAAAATAACATATAGATGACCCACATAAAGAGAATATGTTATGGTATGATAAATGACTCAAGATCTTGAAATTAACAATTTTTATTACACTCAAGTCAAATCTTTCACAAGACTTAAGTTAAAATTCACATGAAGTTCATAAGTTAGATCAAGCCAAACATCCTTAGGCTCAAATAAGTTTCATTTTCCTGCAATTGTTTGAAAGTTAATAGGCTGGGTCAATAACTAGTCTAAATAATAATTCATTTAACTATATAGGCATGGAACTGGAGGAGTAAATCCAACTGTAAGAATTAATTTTTATAGTTTTTATTGAGTGTTTGATCAGGACTTTGCTTCAATAGTTGAAAGAAGATTTTTCTATATTTAACTTCTATTTATTAACTCATATGCTCAGGTTATCACTAGATCCATATCTTGAAATTATTTTATTTGATAATAGAACTTTGATGAAAAATAATTTGAAAATATGCCAAGAAATAATGCTATTTGATTCTCTAAAATTCTATATATTTTGTGGCGATAGATATGGAAAATTAGAGAGCATTAAATTTAGTTTCATAACTACAGATTTTAAATAGATGTTTGATTAACCAATTCTTCTTTAGGAAATCTTGCTGTCTGATGAAGGAATTGATAGGAAGTATGCAAGAGTAAGTATTGCAATTACCTTTATAGCCAATCAATAAAAACGCAGAAAACGAAGGTAACAACAATAAATATTTATTGTTTAGATGAAATGGTTAAATATTTCGGAAGAGGAACATACTTCGCTTTATCTTCTGCTTACTGTGACAAAGACTATGCATACAAATATGGTGGAAGCGAACGTCAAATACTATGTTAGTTGCATTGTAACCCGATATAGTTTGAAGAGTATATATTGGAAACTATGATTTTGGTCTTAGTGCATTGGAGCCAGATTCCTCCAGACCTTTAAAGAAAGAAGATTTTTCTACTGTTGTTGCAAAAGCCAAAGCTTTAGCTAAATCAAGCTTTGGTGCTTACAAGAACGAAAATAAAGCAGACATAGAGAGAAAAATCAGAAAAGAATATGGCGATAATCTAGATAAGCATTTATTCAAGGAAAAAGTTACAAGAAAATTGGAGAGAGATTTCTTTGTAGAAGAAGTAATACTTGATTATGTTATTTATTTCACACAACTCCTTAATTATACAAAACATTAGGCCTAACAGGCTTTATTAGCTTCTAATTACAGGAATAGATAGATGTTTAGTCCACTAAACAAATAATCCCTATAGCAGATACTATTTTTACCATGAAGGTTACATTATTCCTTCTCTTTAGTGCACACAAATTTCTACTATTTCCTCTAATTTTAATTCTGGAATCTAAAATTCTATGATGTAAAAATAAGGAGATTACTGTTAAAGAACGCACAAATGTTTCGTCTACATAAGAATAAGGACTAGACAGTATCATGAAATAAAGCCTTAAGCTAGGCTCTTTGTAGGATAGTTTCTGTTTGAAATTATTCGGTGCAAAAGCGACAATGCTTGGATTCGTTAAAAAGTTACCATTAATAATACATAAATAGATCAATTTTAATAAGAAAGCTGAAAAATTAGAAGCAAAAGCAGGTAAGTGGCAATTTTTGAAGGTTTATAATTATCCATAGGTCGCAATAAGAATGTCAAGGCTAGAAATGCTATATCTTATTCAATCAATGCGTATTCTTACTTTCTTATAAAATAGGGCAAATAAGATGGAAGCCTCCCAAAGATTTGATAGCATCATGGATGATAGGTAACTACATTTTTATTTTCAGACTTATCAATATTGACTTCTTTTGTTCTCGAATATTATTTAAATAGGACATTAGTTCATTATTATGTGTTCGCCTAAGCTGTTGCTAATAAAATGAGAAAGGCTTTGTATTTATCTGACATAAACTCTATTTTTATAGGTTCTTGATAGAGAAAACTATGTCAGGCAGTGCTCCCCCATCAAACCCAAGGTATTTCTCCTAGCTAATCTTATGCAGAATGTTTGTTGTCTTCGAAAACTGTCAAGTGTACCCAGAGTTCTTGGTCACATATAAGCATTGTGGATTACTAAAAGATGATGAAGAACAAAATAATGAAGTTGGATAAATCTATAAGTTTTGGAAAATACTTTACTTTCAATATAAATTTTGAAGTACGGGGTTTTGGGGTTTTGGGGTTTTGGGGTTTTGGGG